TGGTCTTTCTTTTAAACCTTTAATGGTATGTGTACATGTCTTCATCTCTGCATTGCAAGGCGTGTTGCCTGTAGCTTGTTGCGCCATTACGAACTAAGATGAGCATTCATCTGACAGATTGATAATTGCAACAGTGTAGCATGTGCAACAGTGCTGTTCATACAGGGATTCTAATATCTAGCTGTTCATTATCTATAGCTTATATAATTTCAATTATATTTTAGGTGAAAGTAACTTAAAAAAATAAATTCAACTAAACTGACTGAAAATGTATTCTGAATGAATATTTTTTTTACAGAGAAGACAACAAACATAACAATCATGGGAAATTAAATATGCTTAGTTAATAAATTCACGATCCTTTGTGAATGAACGACTCATAAAGAAGAACGGACTGGGATTCAAACCGTGGTACTGGCATGTATCAGGCCCGTGTAGTCTCGTATCTCAGTGGCAGCGCGTTGCTACATCCAAGGTCCACACCACACATCAGGGAGTCGTTCCTTATTTTCTTAATTCACAGTAAAATATACAGAAAACCCATGAACATAAACACTCATCTGCAGTGCCAGGATGAAGTCATCCTGAGCCCCTAGAGGGCCAGGATGAAGTCATCCTGAGCCCCTAGAGGGCCAGGATAAAGTCATCCTGAGCCCCTAGAGGGCCAAAATAAAGTCATCCTCAGCACCTAGAGAGCCAGGATGAAGTCATCCTCAGCACCTAGAGAGCCAGGATGAGTCATCCTCAGCACATAGAGAGCCAAGGTGAACACATAGTGAACACATACTGAACACCTACAGGTCCTGTGGTACCTGGTCAAGAGGAACACCATCATAGGCACAATCAATAAACCAGTCAATAAATTTTGGAATAAAGTATACACCAGATTTTTTTTAATAGTACCTGTATATTCACACTGTCAATATTATAAAAATATTTGTACAATATGAACAATATGTTTGAAAGATAATTTAATACGAGTAGCTTAATGAGAGAGTGAGGTGATGCAGGAGAACTCCAATTAGCTACAGCATGTACACCCATACTGAATCAGCTGAAACGGTGTGAGGAACTGATGCTCCAGGGTGGATCCTAGTTACAAGGTTAGCTAACTTGGAGGACTCTTACTCTGGCTGACTTGTGCAGCTGGTACTTACCCTTTATTGCACCAGCAATAATCTACTGTGCTTTAAGCAGATTTTTGATGATATGCAGGATTGTGGTTGTGTTGGTTACGCCAGTTATATACTCTGTGCACACCACACTGCAACCAGCCGGGGTCTGCCAAGGTTGAAAGTGATATTGTAGGTCTGGAGTCTTAAATAATAACATTTTACACGAAAGTTCAAATTGTGCATGGAGTTCAGGTGTGTTAGTGGAGAATAAAGAACAAAAAGGAACAATGCTGTGACCCGCACATAGGAGAGAGAAGTTACGACGATGTTTCGGTCCGACTTGGACCATTTACAATTTACGTTTTTTTTTCTATTTTCTGTCCCACCTACCGCTCTCCCTATCTCACACTACCACTGCTACTTCCACTACCATCCTTATCACTACCACTACCACTTCCACTTCTTGTCTTACCTTTACCACCACTCCTACGACTTCTCTTGCCCCGTCCCTTGCCTATATATACTGGCTCCTTCTCTCCTTCCTGTTAGTGTGATTTTGTAAATGGTCCAAGTCGGACGGAAATGTCGCCGTAAGCTCCTCTCTCCTATGTGCGGATTAATTGTGTAGTGTCAGTAGATAATGACTGTTGAACACGTAAACTACATATAGAGAATCCTCTCCATATGTCAGAGTGTTCAAGCTTTATAATCAGATAAGTCTTCTTGCTGTGGTTTATATTTGGGGCAAGAAGAGTCCTCTGATGGAGACCTTCCTCACAAGATGCTTGAACAACTGTGCCAACTTCCACATCCCAAGCATCTGTAACTAAACAGGTGAATAATCTGGTGACAATAACACTGGAGCTTCCTGACAACTACATGACCACACGAATGTGCATTTCCTACTGGTAAGGGTGGTTAAGGGGAGACTATATCAGAAAAGTTTTACAAAAATTACTACAAAATCTTATTACGACTTCTTATTACGAAGGAAATGATAACTTTGAATAGTTAACATGTTAGCATTTTTAGTTATTACTTTCTCTTCTCTCATTATATGTTCTAGAAAGGTTACTGAAGACCTATCAAAGGTTTATTTGTACGTCGGGAGATATATTCGTCCCAGGTGTCAGAAACAATTATTAAGACACTTAAGTTTGTCAACATTTTTTCTTACTTTTTCGTAGTAGTGTGTATAAGTTTTTCTATTGAGACAGACACATTGCACTTACCAGAAGGAGTTACAGAGAGAGAGGTGGCAAAGGTATCGGGAATTTTTATGGTATCTGCAAACAAATAGCCAGCAGCAACAGCCTGGTTGATCAGGCGCTGATCCACCAGGAGGCCTGGTCACAGACCGGGCCGCGGGGGCGTTGACCCCCGAAACTCTCTCCAGGTAAACTCCAGGTACCAGCCAAAACTTGTTTAAATGTTAAAATTACATGTGTGTTTACAAACATTAACATTAATACTTTACCTCACGATTGTGAAAGTTACCTCACATATACACACACACATACATACATACACACACACACACACACACACACACACACACACACACACACACACACACACACACACACACACACACACACTCACTCACAGGGGTATGTCGTATGAGGAGAGGTTACGGGAACTCAACTTGCACTGGGCCAAGAAAACGTCAGAACCATCAGCGGAAGCTGTGTCACTGGTGGTCGTATTAGCAAGAGCTGCGTCAACGGCAGCTGCGGCTGCATCAGCATCTACAGCATAAATCCGTGTATCATAAAGCAATTTATATCCAAACGTTAGTCAAAGTTAGAGATCGTAAATAATGAGCATGTGTCCAAGGAAGCAGTGGTGGCTGCAACTGTTGTGGCTGCAGCTGCTGTGGCAGCACCTGCGGATACATCCTTAACAGTAGTTGCCTCCTGTCCAGGAACCGCCATCCTGTACAGGGACCTCCATGGACGGTTGGTTGCGTTATACACAGGAAGATACTAGCGAAATTCCTGAAATAGTATATTATGTAGAACAGGACGACAATAAACTATGCACGATTGTAGTAACTAGTGACATGGTCCTCAGACAAATAGAGAAACTAAAACCTAACAAATCCCCAGGCCCTGATGAACTGTTTGCAAGGGTGTTAAAGGAATGTAAAGAGGAACTTAGCATACCTTTGGTTAATCTTTTTAACATATCACTACAAACTGGCATAGTGCCTGATAAGTGGAAAATGGCAAATGTAATACCTATTTACAAGGCAGGTGACAGGTCCTTGGCTTCGAACTATAGACCAATAAGCCTTACCTCCATAGTGGAAAAATTTATGGAATCAATAATTGCCGAAGCAATTCGTAGCCATCTTGATAGGCATAAATTGATTAATGAATCTCAGCACGGTTTTACCACCTCAAAGGTATTTCAGGAGGTAGATCATGGTAATGAATATGACATTGTGTATATGGACTTCAGTAAGGCTTTCGATAGTTCCATATCAGAGGCTGTTGAGAAAACATGAGGCACACTGCATAGGAGGAGAAATTTTTTCCTGGGTAGAGGCATGGTTGACAAATAGGCAGCAGGGAGTTTGCATAAATGGGAAGAAATTATAATGGGGGCGCGTCACAAGCGGTGTTCCATAGGGGACAGTGTTGGGCCCGTTGTTGTTCAAATCTACATAAACGACATAGATGAGGGAATAAATAGCGACATAAGCAAATTTGCTGATGACTCCAAAATAGGCCGTCTAATTCATTCTATCGAGGACATTAGAGCACTCCAGGATGATTTGAATAGACTGATGCAATGGTCGGAGAAGTGGCAGATACAGTTTAGTATAGACAAATGCAAAGCTCTAAATGTTGGACAAGAAAATAACCATGCCACATATAAACTAAATAATGTAGATCTTAATATTAAGGATTGCGAAAAGGATTTAGGAGTTCTGGTTAGCAGTAATCTGAAACCAAGACAACAGTGCAAAAGTGATCGCAATAAAGCTAACAGAATTCTTGGCTTCATAGCAAGAAGAATAAACAATAGAAATTGTCAGGTTGTTCTTCAACTCTATATATCCTTGGTTAGGCCTCATTTAGATTATGCTTCTCAGTTTTGGTCACCGTATTACAGAATGGATATAAATGCTCTGGAAAACGTACAAAGGAGGATGACAAAGTTGATCCCGTGTATCAGAAATCTTCCATATGAGGATAGACTGAGGACCCTGAATCTGCACTCTCACGAAAGGCGTAGAATTAGGGGGGATATGATTGAGGTGTATAAATGGAAAACATGAATTAATAAAGGGGATGTAAAAAGCGTGCTAAAAATATCTAACATAGACAGGACTCGTGGCAATGGTTTTAAATTGGAAAAATTCAGATTCAGGAAGGATATAGGAAAGCACTGGTTTAGTAATAGTGTTGTGGATGATTGGAACAAACTCCCGAGTACCGTCACAGAAGCTAAGACGTTGTGTAGTTTTAAAAATAGGTTAGATAAATACATGAGTGGGTGTGGGTGGGTGTGAGTTGGTCCTGACTATCTTGTGCTACCAGGTCTGATGCCGTGCTCCTTCCTTAAGTGACGTGTCTGACCTCACTAGGTCAGTGAGGTCAGATGGTCACTAGGTCAGTGAGTTTGAGCCGGTGGGAGAATTGGACCTGCCTCGCATAGGCCAGTAGGTCTGTTGCAGTGTTCTTTCTTTCTTATGTTCTTATAAGAACATGATACAACTTTTACAGACCTAGGTGATATCAAGGACATACTCTATAGAAAGAGCCTGGTTATTCGGAGCATTTCTGGCAAATTAGGTCAGTTTTGTCCCCTGAATGCGACCCGCACCAGTCGGCATACTGCCAGGTGAACAGCAAGTGTCTTAAGGATACACGCCCA